AGGGATTGTAAGCGGAAAGGCAAAAGAATGGATGTGAGGAGACTGATTAGAGTCAAAGTGACCTTGGTCAAGTCATTGGATCTCTCTGACCCTCAGTTTCCTTGTCTATAAAATGGTGAGAAGAAAGCCTACCTCTGGGGCTTCTGAGAATTATTAAGTGATATAACAGTTTCAGTGCAACAAACACAAAATACTTTCCCATTCAATGTAGTTCCCTGTTTTCCCTCCTTTCCAGGTAAGAAACTCAAACTCTCTAAGACATCCCACATGAGTTTCATTCTTCTTGTGCAACATAAACTTTGATGGTCTTTGCTATTAAAACTCTGAGAAATTATTGATTGACTGCATAAAGTGTCCAGAGACACCCTTTGCCAATTATAATGAAATACCATAGAGAAGGGATTTGTGTTATGGCTGCATATTTAGAGTTTTCTTTTCTCAGAGTTTACATTCTTTGAAGATGGGGCCTGCTGTCTTTAGGAAGTACGAAGTAAACCAATATCAAGAATAAGACTGTTGGCCGGGTGCGGTGGCTCACACCTATAATTCTAGCACTCTGGGAGGGCGGGGTGGGAGGATCACTCAAGGTCAGGAGTTCGAAACCAACCTGAGCAAGAGCGAGACCCCGTCTCTACTAAAAATAGAAAGAAATTAATTGGCCAACTAATATATATAGAAAAAAGAAAAGAAAAAAAAGAGTAAGACTGTTGCTGTCCATCTTAGACAGCTTGGGTACCTATTGGGGCGAATGATTCATTGGGATGAATGATCATAAAAGTCCATTGTTTTCTGAAAAAAAAATATCTCTGCTTTCACAATAGCCAAGTCCACCAACTAAGCTGCTAATGATCTGGAAGCTTCAGAGCAGCTGCCAAATTGTAACAACTGCTCTGTCCAAAGATACACACTATCTTATTTCTAGACAAATGCAAGCACATCTCAGATGATGGGTTTTTCTTTTAAGACTGCTTTAAATGTACTTCATGGGAATTGCGTTGATTAGTAGAAGATTGTGTGTTTTTATTTTCCCTTTCCTTCCCAATATAGATGGTTAAAGTATAATTTTCAAAAAGGTAAAAATATGACTGCCACACAAATATAAAATGAGATGGCAAATATTTTAATAAACTGATTAATTAATAAGGGAGCCAATAAGATGTTAAAAACAGGTCAAAGATCATTGAGGAGCTAGGTATTTATAAACAATTTAAATAGGAAATATTAGGAAATGATTACAGGGCTAGATAGGAAACCTGCTAAATCCCTACAAGGTAATAAACTGTAAACTTTCAGATTATCTTTTCCTACTTAACAGAAATTATTTGCCTCTTAAACTGGAAAACAGTATCCACAAAGTAGCATATAACTTTACTAATTCTTGACCTCTAATCAATACTTTTTATAAGACTCTAAAACTCTATGCCCTTAAATGCTTCATCTCTGCTGGATTCCCCAAGCTGAGCACCCACATTCATGTGAAACCCAACTGCAGCACATTTGAGGGAGGATGATTCAGTGTGACAACCGGCCAGGCCTTGACGTTTGTTCATCATCTGGACGTCTCAGTGATCATTCTTACTAAAGGTCACCCAAAAATGTGGGCAGTGGGTCAAAGAAAGCTTCCTCCTTACCCTACTTTAGACAGAAATAGTTCTCACCTTGGTTCTGTGTGATGTTTTACCTCCCAGAGACTTGAGAAGAGGGGCATTACATTACTCATCCCTATCCACTAACTCAACAAGCAGCTAATGATCCTTTACTATGTGCTGGACCCTGAGGATGCCATGGAGAACAAGGAAGGTGTGGCCCCTGCACTCCTGGAACTTGTGTTCTAGTGGGGAGGCAGACACTGAATCGATGACTGCCCACCCAACGAATTAAACACAAATGTGATAAGCACTGGTGTGATTGCCTAGGATCTCAGCTGCAATAGATTTTCAAGCAAAAAAAAAAAAAAATGGGGAGAACTAGTTTGGTCTGGGGGAGGGGGTCAGGGAACATTTTTTCTAAGGAAATGCCTTTAAGATGAATCTGGAAGGATGTGTGGGATTTCACTGGGTGGACTGTTTGGGGGTAGAGGAAACAGCATGTGTGAAGGACTCGAGCCCTTAAAAAGGGTGGCAGTCGTGGAGGCTGGAAACCTGGGCAGGAGCAAAGTCACACGGGGCCTTGAAATTTGGGCAGAGCTTGGGCTTCACCCAAAGGGGAGTGGGGCGCCACTGAAGGGCAGGAGAGAGGGGAGTGGCGTGATCAAAATTTGTGAAAACTCAAGCACTGGGACAGTGCTGTACACAGTAAACATTCAATGAACGTTTGCTGAATTTGTGAAGGAACAGGTGGCTGACCTAAGGGGACCCTTCATGGGATGGCTGACACCAAGAAGGGTAGTCAGTGTCTGTTAACTTCCTGGGCTCTCTGCTTCTCAGTTTAATCTTGTAAACTCTCTGGACTCACACGAGTGATAATTTTATATCCTCCCGTTCACTTGAGAATTTCTGGTTCACCACGAAGGAGAGAGGAAGTCTTTATAGGCAGGAGTGCTCTTCACAATACACATGCCTGTAACTCCTCTTTGGATCTTTTTCCTTTAAAAAAAAAAAATGAGTTAAACGTGGGTTACAGCAGGGAGGTGACATACTTCCTGAGTTGCCCGAAAGTTATCTACTCAGTGGTGTGCCGGCTGTAGCCAATTCTGCAGTTTTGAGTAGCCTGGGTGTTTCTAAGAATGTGTTAAGAAACATTTCAAGTTCCCTTGACAAAAATTTTAAAACCAGTGAACCACCCAGCAAAGAGCTAATGCACAGAGTAGACTAGGGTGCAAGGAACTGGGCAATCTCTTTCACAGGGGCAGAAGTGTATATTGAAACTTCGCTGGAGGGTAAAGCAATAGTGTGCATGGGATAGCCCTCATGATTTTCGCCCCTCCAACTTCCCACCAAGAAACGGAAATAAATAAGGGGAGTTGCAAATATTTAGCTATAAATATGGTCCTTTTAGCATTGTCTGTAATAGCTAAAAACAGGAATGTCCGAAACCAAGGACAAATGTGGTTCATCCATGTAATGGAAAACCATGGTGCTATTTTAAAGTATACTGAAGATAACTGTTTATTGACATGGAAAGATGTTCATAATCTATTTGTTAAATTTAAAAAAGTAGATTATAAAACAGTGAATATCATATAATTCCATTAAGTTTTAAAATATAACTAAGACTCTGGGTACGTCTATAGACAAAAATGATCTGGAAAGACACAAAAACCAAAGGACTAACAGTGGTTACCTGTGTTGGGGGCACTGTAAGCATTTTTATTTTCTCTTATTTGCTTCTCATTATTTTATATTCTTTCTCTAATGAACTTTTATTGCTTTTGTAGTTAAAAAGAGTTTTATTTATAAAACTTGTTTGTGATCTCCTAAGATCTCAGCTGCAGTAGATTTTATGAGGGACTTCCAATGTTTCTTTGCCTGCATGAAGGATCTGATTATATGTATATGTTTCTTAGATATATGTGTAGCAGCAGTGGCCAAGTACAGTGGCTTACACCTGTAACCCCAGCACTTTGGGAGACCAAGGTGGGAGGATTGCTTGAGGCCAGGAGTTCGAGCCCAGGATGGGCAACATAGCAAGACCTCATCTGTAAAAAAAAAATTTTAATAAAAATAAAAAATGGGAAAAAAAAGTTATACATATAGCAGTGTTTTCCTATCCTGCTTGTCTGGTTAAGATGGTAGTTATCAGCACTGGCCATGCAATTGCATTTTTGTTGCAGAAAAAAAATTTTATGCAAGAAGCACAACAATTCATAACAAAAGTAATGAGAGGTGGTCATTTTTGCTTTATTTATGAAGTGTAGGTGTGAGGGCTGATGAGTATAAAAAGTGTAATTAATTTAAAGAAAGAAAAAACAACTGAAAGGATAAATACCAAAACAGTATGGATAGGTATCTCTGAATTATGGGAAGTTTTCATTTTTTTTTCTTTTTGCTTCCCTATATTTCCTAATTTTTCTGTAATGAATATGTGTTGATAGAATAAAGGGGGAAAGGTGAAACATGCAGAAGCAAATTGCCTTCATGTAATTACGGTGGAAAGTCCCAATACGGGGGGCTTAACCATCGCCGCCATTGCAACAAGGTGATTTTGGGGGGACCATGTGGCTTGCTGGAAGAACATGGGTCTCAGACGTGGGACAAGTTCCTGACTGGTCTCCGGAACAGTCTGAGAATTAGGGAGACTATTTATTGACGTAGATCCTGGCTGTGTGACCACAGACAAGCCATGAACCCCCTGAGTCTTTTGTCATTCACTCATTAACAAGCCCGTACTGAGCATCCCCTGGGTACCTGGGCCTGGGCCAGACGCTGAGGACAGAGTAGCAAAGAAGCAAGATGGATCCTCCAGTCCAATTCCGAAGAAAAACAGCAACAACCAGACAAACAGCAACATAATATAATAATGATAACAGTAACAGCCAACCTGTCCTGAGTACTTACTAAATGCCAGGAACTGTTAAATGAGATCTCTCTCTCTATATATAAACTCATTTAATTCTCACCATAACCCCATGAAGTAGGTATTACTAGTATTCCTATTTTATAGATGAGGAAACTGAGGGTCAGAAAGGGTAGCTAATTTGCTGAAGGGGACACAGCCAGGAATTTCAAGCCAACTATGTGCTGTGCTGCACTCAACCATATAGCTACAAAGGTCACAGTTTCTACAAATTGAAACAGGACCATAAGAGCATATTAGGGTAATTCAACCTGGTCTCAGCGTACAGATAAGTCTTCCCTAAGGGTGTGACATTTCTGCTGAGACCCCAAGAATGGGAAAGAATAAATCAGGTAAGAGCAAGGGCAAGAGCCTCTGGGGTGGAAAAAACAAAACAAGATAGCAGTAATGACTTTGCGCTAAGGTTTCTGAGTGAGCGGTGTTGGTGAGGTGGTCACTGGGCATGGTGCTAATGGTGGATTCTCTTCTCCCCACCCTGCCCCCAGACACTCCTGGCCAGGGCACTTTATGACAACCACCCCGACTGCTCCGATGAGCTGGCTTTCTGCAGAGGGGACATCCTGACCATTCTGGAGCAAAACGTGCCGGAAAGTGAGGGCTGGTGGAAGTGTTTGCTCCACGGGAGGCAAGGCCTGGCCCCTGCCAACCGCCTCCAAATCCTCACAGAGGCTGCTGCAGACAAGCCGTGCGCCACATTCCTGCAAGGCCTGGGAGAAGCTCTTGCCAGCTCAGAGGAGATCTACCAGGTGCCCACTCTGCTCCACCCGCCGCCACTAGGCCCCGTCTACGAGAAGATGAAGAGTTGGGTGGAGGAACCTCTGCCCCCCATCACCCAAGTCTACGAATTCCCTGACCCACCCACCAGTGCCAGAATCATCTGTGAGAAGACCCTAAGCTTTCCAAAACAGGTATGTGTATTTCCAAATGAAAGGGATGGGTCAAGGGGTGTGCACACACCCAGGGGGCTTAACTACCCTTGAGTCATGGATGCCCCTCAGACCAAATGTGCAAAATGGGAGCCCAGATCACCAGCAGTCATGACTGGGGAGCTTGTCCACTGGGCTGGGATGGAGAGCCCAGCGGCCCCCACCCTGTCGTCATTCACAGTCCTGGCCCTGTGATTCCCCAGCGCCCCAAGACTGGCCACACCCTGTGGGGAACAGAACGCTTAGTCCGGCTGTGTGGGAAGGCACTGCAGACATTCATGGTGGTCTTTTCACAGCACGAAGGAACACCAGGACTGCCAGTGGCAAATGGTAGGGTTGAATTTCCAGGGGTTCAAAGGCAAGAAGTTACTCATCACATTTAAAATGTATATGCTCCTCAACCCAGAAATTTTACTTGTAGAATTGCTACAGAAATACACAAGCAGGCAAATATGTGTCTGGATGAGAAGAATACAGCTGTAACAGCATCATTTGTTATAGGGAAAAACTGAAGATGCCTAAATGTTAGGGGTGTTTTGTTGTTTGTGTTTTAGAGATAGGGTCTCACCCTGTCACCCAGGCTAGAGTGCATTGGCACATTCATAGCTCACTGCAGCCTCAAACTCCTGGGCTCAAGTGATCCTCTTGCCTCAACCGCCCAAGTAGCATGGCATACCACATCGTACTACTATGCAGTTGTTAAAGAAGATGAGGTATTTCTATGAGGAAGGGGGAAGAAAGAGCCATTGAAACAAAAACCCGAAAAGGATCCTGTGCATGAATGTGTGCATATGTGTGCATGCTCACACATGGAAAGAGATCCAGAAGAACACACACCTAGTGTGGTTACCCCTGAGGAAGTGGAATTGGTTAAAGAGAAAGCGAAAGAAGGCAGTACGCAGGGACCTTGATTTTATTCGCTTCCATGTCCCCAGAACCTAAGACAGGGCCGGACATGGGGTAGGTGCTCGATACAAATTTGATGAACAAATAGATTACAAAATTGATTTGTATGCTATATTGAATATATACAATATCTGTATTTTTTTTAAATATCAATTTTTTAAAAACGGGAACAGAAGCACTGTTCTGTTCTGCATTTAAATGTAGAACAAAAGCATTTTTTAATGAAGAAAAGAAAAGAAGGAAGGCAAAAAATAACATACTGTATTCTGCAAAGCCCTGGCCTTCATGAGGTGTCATGGATGGAGAGCAGATGGCACAATGCTCAGCCACTCTGGGCATTTCCTGCCATCAGATTATTTGTTTTTAGGCCAAATGACACATCCCACTTGGCTACAGCTCTGGCAGGGTCTTGACAAGGTCTATGTCCAAGGAAAGGCTGCTCCCCTGAAGTATGTGCTGTGGGGACCCCAGGAATGTGCCACTCACCACTGAGACCTCCTCCACACCAGCTTCCAAGGCTACCTTCAGACAGGACAGGTTGATTCCTTAAAAGACTTTGAATACTTTAGATTTTCTAACTCCCTGGGCTGCAAGGCATAGAATAAGACAGCTGTTACATAGAACAGCTGCCATGCATAGGGGCTGGCTGCAAACATGAGGGCGAAGCTGGTTGAGCCTTGGTGCACCCTAACTCTCTTTTCTGGAACAAGTGGCCCAGATCTAGGCCTGGCATGCTCAGCTGCTGTCTGAGCAGCTGGCTCAGAGCAGGGCCTTTATGGTGTTTCTTCTAAGAACAAGTGACATTAGCTGAAGTTGACTTGAATTTCTTTCCAAAGCCATTAAAGGGAAAACAAAATCAGTGCATATTTCCCCCTGCTTCCTAAAAAGAAAACAGATACAATGTCCTCTGTTGGCCAGGTGTCCTCAGCACCCAACACAGTGCCAGGCTCCTACAAGTTGCTCCATACTTGCTGAGTGAATGAAGTTGACAAAAACACAACATAAGACTTCAGAAACATGGACCCTAGTGTCATCTTCTAGCTGGCATTGGTATGAAAGGAAAGATGAGTTTACTACTGAAACTCAACTCATAAAAACAGGGCATTAGCGGGGAGATTTGTCCTTGATGTGAAGCATGTCAACTATCTGCGCCCTCACCTGTGCAGGCTACTAACAGAAACCACAGCCACTGACGGGGAATTCCAGGCCTCGTTGCCACTGAGTAGGGTTTTGAGGTGACCACACTGAAACACCTGGGCAACTTTCCTGCTTTTTTCTTTTTCCTTCCCCCAGTTTCCTCCATATCTGCCCTGTGTACATGTTTGGTCCCTCCCTCCTGCCCCTCAGTTTTTGAAAGTGTTGCCTTTTCTGTTAAAGCACGAGACGCCATCTGTGGCTTGGAAGCCAGGGGTCCTGGCCCGCTTGGCTGCTGGGGCACCCACTGTCGTGCTCGGTGACTGGGAACAGCACAACACCCTCCGGATTTCTCTTCCCTCCTCTGTATCAGGAGAGGGTTGGACCCCATCATTTGTAAAGTCACCTCCAGTTGTACCTTCTGGTTTTTCTAAATAACTTATCTTCTTCCTCTACCCTAAGAAGAAAGGAGCTCGAAGAACTAGAAGAATAGTTAATAGTAAGTTGAGGATTTTCTGATTCATAGAACGGGCAGGCATCTCCTGCCCGCTCATGGAATCTAGTGTTTAATCCCAAGTCTAGGATAGCCCAGAAAATACATTCTGAGCAGAAGCGGCCATTGGCAGAACCAAGCAAGTCTGGGCCACCAGCTTTGAGCTGGTTCCCAAGGGCAAGTTCACAGGCCTGGAGCACAGCCCGGGTGAGTCCTTTCACAGACTCCCTTTCATACTTGTGTTGACTATCTCTAGGCTAAGGTGGCCCCAAATTAAAACTCAAAAAGGTGGAAATGCCGCTTTTATCGGGTTGTCCTAGCAGAGGAATCTGCGTGTCAGAATCGGTCGTCTCTATAGCTGGAAGAGACCTCTGTGGATCTTTAGATTGGAACCAGTCTTCATTTAACAGATGAGAAAACTGATTCCCAGGGAAGTGAAACTGCCTGTCCCTGGTCACGCAGCTGAGGAATCTTGTGTCTGTCCGTATCTGAACAGCCCTCGACCCCAAGGCCCCCAGACAGAACCCTTACCCTAAGCACCTCTGTGCCCCCTTAATCTTCTTGACTGACTCTGGCTGAAACTACTCTTTCAGTGAACTTTTTATTGACATTTCACCCACAGATCCTAAGGGTCTAGCTCAGTTACTAGGATCCAGATCAAGACACAGAACAAAAAGAGCGCCCCAGAAGCCCCCTGTGCCTTCTCTCTGTCACTTCCCCTAAGGTAGCCACTATCTTAATCTTTGTTGTACTTTTTATTCCAACTTCCTTGATATAATATGCCGGCCTGACTCACAAAAAATAAACAAACAGCAAACACCACCACATAAAGAACATACTGGATTTCAGTGTAAATTCAGGAGGGACTCTTTTTTATTTCAAGTGAAAAGGGCCAGATTTCCTAGTAAAATTGCTCTTGGACCCACTAGTTCCTGAACTGGAGTTTCCTTCTGTCTCCCTAAACATTTCAAAACCATGTTTCTCAAACATGTTCTTTAACTGATTGCCATCTCCAACCTATGTTTTCCAAGAAGCAGTGGGCAGTTTTGAACTGGCTTCCTTCCCTCTGAGATGTCACACAGGAAAGTCCCTTTGCTCTCTGCAGGTGCTCTTGTGGGCATCGAGACCCACAAAGTCAGCCGCATAATAAAATGGACCTGAAATCACAGGGAGAAATGGGTGACGGGGCCACTTTGGAAAGGGCCTGTGGTGGGAGAGAGCCTGGTGTGTTCGGATAAGTGGGGAAAGGAGGGAGGAGAAGTAGGGGTGATGGCCAGTGGTCAGAGACACTCACACAAGGTCCCTGGGCTTGGACAGTGCATGGCCTGTTAGGCCTGGTAAGGAGCTTGGGTTTAATTCAAAATGCATCGGGGAACCACTGATAGGTTTGTCCTAGACCAATGAGCCTAAGACCAATGGGGACAAAGGCAGGTTTATTGACTGTAACGAGGAAGATCCCAGAGCAGAGGGACCATGGGGCAGCTCGCAGAAGGAAAGGTAGCATAACTATAAGATGGGGGAAGGCCGGGTTTAGGTGAAATGCAGACAAAGCCATATCTCAGCAGGCTCTATGCAAAACAGGCAGCATGTGAAGGGGTCAGTATAAGCCCAGACATCAAGGTGGGCACAGGCTGCTCTTTCCTTGGGGACCACGGAGTTGAGGCAGAGGCAGAGCGTGGGGCCTGGGTACCCTTATCTGAAGCTCTGCACAGGGTGCTGGGGACAAAGCCTGCTCCTCTGAGTCAGTGACTCAGATCCCCAGGCAAGAGTGGGATGTTTCATTCTTACTGATGGCACTTCAGACAGCTGTGCTTCTTGAGAGCCTAGGATTTTAGAGAACCAAGTTTCCCAGGGAGCCAGAAAGCAGTTGTCACTCAGAGAAGGGGGTTGTTTGGATACTTGCCAGCCATCACCTGTCCCTGGGAGAAACATTTGCACTGTTCACTTTGCAGCTTCTTTATCTGAGCCTGTTTCCTGCCAGAGGAATGGCCGGGTGGATTTTATACTTACAGCTGGTTTTCACTGTTCAAGCTGTACATGGTCATTCACCAAAAACAAGCAAACAACCCAAATTCTAGCACTTACCACATGCCAGTCCCAGTGCTGGGTCCTGGGGACACCATGATGAACGAAGGGACCCTGACCTGGCCCTCAGAGGCTGCCCTTCCAGCTGGACAGCCCCATCTCCACATATTTAAATTCTGGCCATCCCCATGATCCCACTGAGAAAGCCCCCTACTCAGTGGCCCTGGTGGGAAGTACGTTCTCCCTACCCTGGATGCCCTGGGCCTCCTTTTCCTCTCCCCAGACCCCGTCTTGCAGCCCAGCCTGTGTCCTGGGTATGCCCATGCCTTATTTCCTCCTCAGACCTTAAGCCAGTGGCGACAGCATCCACTATGCTGTATGAGACCGCCCTTCCCAGGACACTCCCAGAGACACTCTACCGTGTTTCCTCGAAAATAAGACCTGCCCATAAAATAAGCCCTAGCAGGATTCCTAAGCATTTGCGCAATATAAGCCCTACCCCGAAAATAAGACCTAGTGATGGGCGTGGTTATGCAGTATGTCTGCACAACCCATGCATTTTGTCGCAGAGCAGTAAAGAAGACGAGCAGCCCTTCTCAGCTGCCCCATCATGACAGCTACTACCCCATAGGTGACCAGAATGGTGTGGGCAGCCCCACCAACAAGGTCGGCTCCCCCTGTCAGGTCCCAGCCATCCTGTGCGTTCTACAGGCTGAGGCTTTGAGGGGAAAATAACACATCCCCTGAAAATAAGCCCTAGGGTGTCTTCTTGAGGAAAAATAAATATAAGACCCTGTCTTATTTTCAGGGAAACACGGTAGTTCAAGAGGTCGGAGGTGGGAGCCCTGGCTTACCAGGTGATTCGGATGCCTGGCCAGGTTGGGAAGCTGCCGCCCCTGGCATCCAGCGTGGCGCTCAGCATTGAGTCAATACCAATGAGCTCTAAAGGATTAACTTGAATCCAAAGTTCCCATTTACAGGCACAGACTCCACAGCTGAGAGATTGTTTTCCAAAATGGCATGAGCAATAAGTGGCCACGTGCTCTGAATAAAATATAACTCTGCTCTTGGTAGGATAACATCTGAACTCCGTAACTGACCTGCTCCCTCTTAACTTTTCCCACTCCCTCCTGCCCTTCCTCACTCCTCTACATCACTTGTCACTTTCAATCACTCCAAATCACCAAGTTCTCTTCCGCCTCTGCCTCGGGCCAGTGGAAGGTGCACCAGATTCCTCTGTCAGCTCTCAGCCCTGGCTCGCCCCAGACCTCACCAGGCCCTCCACTCTGCAGTCTTAAAGCCTCCTCTGGCTGTCTTATTCACAGCTGCAGCCTCAGCATCGCTACCTGAATATACACAAGTAACCCAGCATGAGGGTCACATGCTGGTCCTCTGGTCTCCAGAAACATCACAATCACCTGCAGGCACCTGGGCCCCCTCAGCACGCAGAGATTCACTACAGCACATGTGAGGCCCAAGAATCTGCATTTTAATCCACTTCCCAGGTGGGGCTGCCGCAGGCTGCTGTGGGCCACCCTGTGGGGAAGACTGTCCTCCGCCGGGGGAGCTTGCCACCAGCATCCTGCTATGCCCAGTCTCCAGAGTGAAGGGCCTGCCCATCACGGTGCCGGGCCACCACCCCAACACCGTCACCAAGCTGTCTTTGCTGTTTGGGAGATAACTTCGAACATGACTGTGATAACTAGCGTGACCTTTTTCCCCCTGTCTCTCCTCTTTTCTCTCCAAGGCCCTCTTCACGCTCCCCAGACCTGCTCGGGTTTCGCTGCCAACTCTGCCTTCCCAGGTATACGACGTGCCTGCCCAGAGCCGGGTCCTCTCAGCCCTTAAGGTGAGACTCCTTCAGTGGCCCCTGCTCCTCCCAGAGTCAGGGGCCATCCACCTCACCGAGACATTGCATTTATCCTTTACTGAGAAGATCTCGGGCTTGGTCTGCTCAAACTCCAAAACATACATCAGCAGGCAGAGGCCACCTTTGTAACCTCCTCTGTGCCTGTGGAGCCCAGACCTGCTCAGGAGAATGTTATTACTATTTGAGTTCTGAATATTTAACAATTTTTCACTTTTCATTTGTAATAGATATTTCATATATGCATGTGCATACACACACACACACACACACAAGCATTCAAAAAAATATTATCTTGAAGGATATGCACCACAGTCTTAACCGTGATTATCTTAACCTTGATTATCCCTGGGGGATGAAATTTTAGTTGTTTTTTTTCTTAACTTACTTGTTATGTCACTGGTCCATCGAATTTGTAGGACTAGCTTCATGTGATCAAAAAATAGCTTCCTCCTGCCTGAGCCTATCAAAACTGCTCTGCGGCGGCTTTCTCCCTGGTCGTGTTAGTGGCTCTGCACCTCCGCTGCATGTGGGAATCACCTGGAGGCTTTGGCCAAGCTTGCTGCCCGGGCCCCACCCCGAGACTCTGATGTAGCAGGTCTGGGCGGGGCCCAGGCATCAGGATTTTTTAAAGTTTCCAGGTGATTCTAAAACACAGCTAGGCCTGAGAACCACACTTCTAGTCTAAATAAAATGCCAGTCCATCTTGTCAACAGCCTCTCTCCTTTCACTTTTCCCAAGCCAGAGTCAGCCCCTGTGCACTGTGACCCCAAGGTCAGAGGACACAAATCATTGAATGGTCCCGCTGGAGTACACCTGACACTTCCCTTGAGGGGAGTGAAAGGCCCCCCACCATTCCCCCTCTGAGGAGAATTCTTAGGAGACTCAGAGCCCAAGTCTCTCTAAAGAAACCCCTTCCAATGTTCTAGCTGTGTCTCTCCCTCTCTTTGCAAAACCTCTTTTGGTGCCATCTTGCCTTGCCTCGGAACTTGGAACCTATTTTTCACACCCTAATATATGTATTTTCTAATTACTGTACACATTATATATATTACATAATAGGCATAGCTCTCAAGCCACTGAAGGAGCTTGAGCAGAGGAAGCACAGTGCCTGCACTTAGCAGTTGCTCAGTATGATGCACACTTGTCAAATGAGTAGCTCAAACCCTCTTTTTATTATTGCCTTTGTTACCCTGTATGTATACAGGGTCACTGGACTTAGTGTCTGGTAGTGAGTAGGCACTCAATAAATACATGAATGATAAACATAGGAAAATTTCTATTGAGAAAAATAAACAATAAAGAAGGAAGACACATTAGGTCCAATCTCATTTACTCTTCTGGCTTAATTCAATCTTAAGACTAACTCACAGAAGGAGACAAACTACTGGTTTTAACTCAGGCAACTGCAGTACACTCAATGGTTTCCCCCCCCACCTCCAGTCAAGAAATCTTTTAAAGCACAAAATCCATTGTTCGATGTATACCCACTACAGCACAGAGACTTTCACCATTAGAGCACCATGCCTTAAAACCGGAAGTCTTCAGTGATTTGTTTTCCTTTGGGAAAAAAATCAGCGGAGTGAAGAGAGTTTGTGGTATATAGCCATCAGGAAAGGAAAATCCAAGTTGTCCTCCTTTGTGGTCTCTCCCCAGGAGCCAGAGAAGCAGCAGGTATACGATATTCCAGCCAGCCACCAAAGGGCAGCACTCCACCCGCCGGCCAGCCAGGCAAGCGTAAGTGTGAAGAGGTGCTGAGCGGCACTGCTGTGAACACCTAAAAATTCTCTGGGAAGAGTTATTAACTTGGTAAAAAATCAGAATGTAGGCCGTGCAGCTCACGCCTGTAATCCTAGCACTCTGGGAGGCCAAGGCGGGCGGATCGCTCAAGGTCAGGAGTTCAAAACCAGCCTGAGCAAGAGCGAGACCCGTCTCTACTGTAAATAGAAAGAAATTAATTGGCCAACTAATATATACAGGAAAAAAAAAATTAGCCAGGCATAGTGGTGCATGCCTGTAGTCCCAGCTACTTGGGAGGCTGAGGCAGTAGGATTGCTTGAGCCCAGGAGTTTGAGGTTGCTGTGAGCTAGGCTGACGCCACGGCACTCACTCTAGCCTGGGCAACAAAGTGAGACTCTGTCTCAAAAAAAAAAAAGAGAATGTAAATTCGTCATAACAGACCTTATTGCATTTAAGGCAAAAACCCTAACTGCACTCGTGTCTAGGAATAGAACCAGCTATGTGGTGAACTTCTCCATGTTACTGAGAATATTAAGTGACATAATCCCTGCAAAGGGTCTGGTACAGGGCCTGGCACAGAGCAAGAGCTCCACAAACATTAGACAACTGCTTCTTCTCACGATGGGCCTCAGGGATGTGTTGTGTTAAAGTACACTTTTATGTGTGGATGGGGGGATGACTTAAAGTCTGTGTGACCCACGCTTATCACTGGATTCTACCATACGTATGTGTCCCATGGATACATGTATGCCTGAGGTTATTAGGGGGTGCCCTACAAAAGAGGGAGCGTTCCAGCAGTGTCATGAGAGATACACAGGAGTTGGTCGGATGAAAAGGAAAGCGTGGGGGAAGGGCGTTAGAGCAGAGGAGCCAGTTAGGGCAAACTAAAACACAGCGGTATGAGTAAGTGTTCTGGGACAGTGGGAGGTGAACAGCCAGGTGGCCGGACCCGCAGGGAGGTGCTGGCAGGTGAGGCAGGACACACGTGGTGGAAGTGGAGAGAAGGGAGGTTCAGAAGGAGGTGGAGCCAGTTGTGAAGGGCCTCGATAAGAGAAAGGGGGAGTCGCGGAGGGAACTTGAGCAGGGGAGTGACCATCGGATTCAAATGAGTCGTTCAAACCCTCTTTTTATTGCTACTAACTGCACGACTTTGTGTGGTTCTTCCACAGGAACAGAGTGTTCTCCTTACACCAATGAGTGCCTTAAAAAGAGAAGGCTACAAGACGTTACCAAAGCCTCAGAAATCAGAATGGATTTATGACACTCCAGTGTCTCCGGGAACGGCCAGTGTCAGAAACACATCTCCAGCCAGCTCTGCAGAAGAATCAGGACTCCACGCTGCTCCCGGTTCTGGCTCACCTTTCCACAATCCTCCAAGTAGCAGAGGCAGGTCCCTCACCCCACAGCTGAATGTGCCCATGCAGAAAAAACTCAGTCTTCCAGAAATCCCTTGCTATGGATTTCCAGCACACAGGGACATGGTCCCTTTGGATGAAGGTGTCAGCTACAAGGTTCCTTCCAGCTTTCTGATCCCCCGAGTGGAACAGCAGAACACCAAGCCCAACATTTACGACATCCCTAAAGCAATGCCCAGTGTCCCTCGTGCTGGGAAAGGGCTGGGAAAAGCCAATGAGGCTTCAGAGAATTCCATGGGCTGCAACTCCCCATGTTTCTCCAGACAGACAGCCTCCCTGTGTCCTGAAGAGGACAGACTGTCTGTCTCCAGCTCTGACAGCAGAGCTAGCGTTGTTTCTTCGTGCTCTTCCACATCCACCGACTCCTCCGCCAGCTCTTCCTTGGAGGAGTCAGCAAGGGAGCTCTCCTTGGACCTGGACTTGGCCAAGGGGACAGTGAGGGCTCTGCAACACAAGGTGGTCAGCTCTACAGCAGGCCTGCTGCTCTTTGTAAGCAGGAAGTGGAGGTTCAGGGACCATCTGGAGGCCAACATTGATGCAATCCGCAGGGCTGCTGATCACATAGAAGAGTCTGTAAGAGAATTTCTGGACTTTGCCAGAGGAGTCTGTGGGGCTTCCTGTAATCTCACTGACAGCAACCTTCAGGTCAGAATCCGAGAGCAGCTACAGACAATCTCCAGTTCCTACCGGATCCTGCTTGAAACAAAGGAAAGCTTGGATAACTGCAATTGGTCCCTGGAAGTCCTCGTGACTGACAAAGTCCAAAACAGCCCAGATGACCTTGAGAGGTTTGTCTTGGTGGCACGAATGATTCCAGAAGACATCAAGAGATTTGCCTCCATTGTTATTGCCAACGGGAGGCTCCTTTTTAAGCAGCACTATGAAAAAGAATTTAAGTGTGAAAAATGCATCCAGCCTCCCCAAAGAGAAATTGAATCATACCAAAGGAGTACTCCTTTTACTAAGCAGAGGGAAAATGAACACTCCCCTGAACTGTTAAAGAAAAACAGGACAAATACCTGTAGACAGGTGAGTTCAGAGTTCCAAGTGACATAATAAGGGAGCTTCAGTCATTACTAAGTGGTCACCACTAAGTTAGATGCTGAGAGTCTTTGAACAGTGTGTAAGTAAGCTTTGGAGAGACACTGGTTCCATTTTCTAGAAAACAGAATTCATAAAAGTAAAATTGTAAATGAAACCTTATTGGCAAGTAAGATAAATATTTTATTATTAAGGCAGATAAATCAGTATATTTGGATTAGATTTCTTCTGGAAATTTTGGGGGTTCAGTTTTGCCACTGATACTATTAATAGAATTAGAAAGGATTTTAAAACTTTAAAAAAAATCTGTTCTTTGAGTAGATTTGTATTTTCTATTTTACTTTATTTCATTTTTATTTCAGTATGCCATTTCAGCCTAACTTTGAATAGATTTTTTTAAATCTCACCAAGTTTCCTTGCATTTTCAAAAGTTATAAATTTAGTCATTGTCAGTGCGTTTCTTAGCAACAGAAGAGGAAGTATTATGTAAACATTTCTCCAATGTTCATGGTCTAGTCGGCCTCCAGACTTTGTTTGCTCTTACAAATACTTTGCTTCTGGATGAGTTAAAACTTTATAGAAAGAGGACTTTATTGGGGAGATGCAGCCTCAGGAGGCTCAGCAAACTTACCATGTCAAGAAATAATTGATGCTTTCGCCCCAGCCTTGTGTTTCTGCTGAAATGCCTGGTGGTGTAAGGCTTTAACACATCTAGAAATTTGGATATTAAATTACATATATATGCGTGTGTTGTTTGTGTGTGGTGTGTGTTGTATGTGTAATATATATGTACATATATTACATATTTAAAGAGAACTTAAAAAAAAATGTGTGGGCATATATTAGGCATATGTGTAGGCAAAATTCAGCCTTGGCTGCCAATCTCCTTCATTCAAAAAAAAGACATCAGTAGGCAGAACCATTACTAAAAATACAACGGATTCTCAGTTAAAGTGAACTATAAAGACGAGTTATGATAATAGTACCAAAACCATCAAGTGGGAATTGAAGGATGTTTATTTTCAGAGGTTGCCTAACCTAGAAGAGAAAGAAATCATCTTGAACAAAGGTTAATGAAACAAGACTTAGAACAACGTAAGCTATCATGCTCCTCTCCGACTTCTGATTAACATGCATTATCCTAGATACGTTCATCGAGTATGGATATTCAGATTTTGCCATGGCACACAGTAGGGATCTGGTTTTGTTTTCTCTTTCTTTTTTTTATCATAGAAGAACCTGATGATCAATGAGTGCGACGTGAACCCAGAATGAATGAACCTTAATCGTTAGTGAAGAATAAATCTGGGTGCTCTGAATTTTCATGGTTGTGTACCACATGGCAAAATAGTATAACCTGGCGGCGCTGTGGCTCACGCTGTAATTCTAGCACGCTGGGAGGCGAGGCGGGGGATCCTCAAGGTCAGAGTTCAAAACAGCCTGAGGCAAGAGCGAACGATCCCAGTTCTACTAAATAGAAAGGAATTAATTGGCCACAAATTATAGAAAACAATACCTGCATGGTGGTATATGCCTGTATCCCAGCTACTCGGAAGGCTGAGGCAGGAAGATTCGCTTGAGCCCAGGAGTTTATTGCGTGAGCTAGGCTGCGCCATGGCACTCTATCCAGAACAACAGAGTGAAACTCTGTCTCAAAAAAAAAAAATAATAACTGACTCACATCCATTGACATATCTATTTTAATGCTTCGATTACAGCAACGAAAAAAAAATTTGTTTAGCCGGGGCGCTTTGGCTCACGCCTGTAATCCTAGCTCTGAGGCCGAGGCGGGCGATTGCTCAAGGCTCGGAGTCGAAACAGCCTGAGCAAGAGCGAGAACCCGTCTTACTATAAATAAAGAAATTAATTGGCCAATGATATATATATCCAATTAGCGGCATGGTGGCTGCATGCCTGTATCCCAGCTACCGAGGCTGGAGGCAGGGAGATCATCGAGCCAGAGTTTGAGGTTGCTGTGTGTGAGCTAGGCGACGCACGCACTCACTCTGCCTGGGCAACAAAGCGAGATCTGCTCAAAAAAAAAAAAAAAAATATTTGTTTGGGCTTTGTGTATCTTTTTTTTTTTTTTTTTTTTTTTTTTTTATAGGAAAGCGCCATCGCACTGCTCAGCTCCGCCTCAGCAAGCCGCGCCGCCTCTCCATAGGGCTGTGTATCTTTATCACCTCTCAACTTGATGTTCTCTTTTTTTTCATAATCAAAGAGTGATCTTGTGCTTATTTTTATGGTACTTCTATTGTACAGACAGTAGTTTTCCATTTACCAATTTTAAAGTTTCCTTATAGTGAAAACAATGAGTCCTTTAAGAAAATATGAATGCCAGTAGAGTAAGAGGAGGCAGGAATGTACATTTCGGAAGTTTCAAGGCTTCTAGCATAACCGAAGCTGGGGAAACAATGAACCAATTCAACACCTAGTTATTGGCAGTGGAGGCGACGAGAGGAAAGTCAGAGTGTTAATGACTAAGTGAGTCATGTGCTTCTCAGAGGCCACTAGGACAAACCCAAGCCTCCTTGATGCTCAGTTCCCCAAGCCCCAAAACACCAAACTTTAGCCTGCCAATTGCTGAAAATATGGTATTTTGTTCAACACAGTATATCTCACACAGTGCGTCTCAAACCTGAGCGTATCACAGTCAGCCTACCTGTAAGCTTGTAAAGTCAGGGGCTGGCCCCACTCCAGGTTTCGAAAAGGTCGGATGAATCTGTTACTTTACAATCTAAGTTCCAGGTATTCAGATGCAGCTAGTCAAAACCACACTGGAATCCCCAGCTTGAGACTGACCATGCTTCTCCGTGGGGGCTTGGGGGCACCACTGACCACTGGGTGGTTCTCTATTGTGTGGGCTGGACCGTTCGGCTTCCCCAGACCCCTTTCCACTAACTGCATACCTAGTCGATGTGATAACCAAAAACTTATTTCCACATGTTTGTAGCACCCCAGGCTAAGAATCATAGTATACTTTTTGTTTACCTACAGTTAATATTTTGAAGGAGAGATGCTGAAATCCAATGTCTAGCTTATTGTTTATTTATTTTTTTGAACAGATCTCACTTGTGGCCCAGGCACGAGTGAGTGCCATGGCGTCAGCCTAGCTCACAGCAACTCAAACTCTGGGCCAAGCGATTCCTCCTGCCTGCCTCCTGAGTAGCTGGGACTATAGGCACTCCACCATGCCGGCTAATTTTCTTATATTAGTGGCCAATTAATTCTTTCTTTAAGTAGAGACGGTCTCGCTCTTGCTCAGCTGGTTTTGAACTCCTGACCTTGAGCAATCCGCTCGCCTTGGCCTCCCAGAGTGCTAGGTGTGAGCCACTGCACCGGCCTCATTGCTTATTATTTCTGACCTCTGCTTCATTCTTCTCATACTCCCTTCTCCTAGAGTTCATCTTAACTGACATCTAATCTTCCTCACTTTGTATTATAAGATACATTATTATTTTCAAATATGATTCTAATAACAAATATACTTCTCCAAAGTTACCTTCCTCTCCTCATCTAATCCCCTCTTCCTATAGCCCTGGGCGAGACACAGGCCCCTTTTGAAAACATCACTTTTCAGTCATATCTGTCTGGTGTATCT